CTCCCCCTGAGGAAGAGCTCACACAAGTTCTCAGCGTGCGATAACTCAAGCCGTTTTCTAATGACGATGAGTCGGTGGAAGGGAGATGACGAAAGCAAATGATGGTGAAAATGAAAGTGGTGGAGATTAAGTCGGAAAATGCCGATGACAGTCAGAACGTGAGGGTGCGTGGGGGGGGGGGGGGTTGCTGAGGGCGGCTTGTCGGGATTCCCACGCCCGTGCGAGCCTTTGAGTGCATTGTATGCGAGTTGCATTGAGAAATATGTCTTTATATACGTATGCATACCTACATATACATACAAACATGCATGCATTCATGCATATTGCTGTGTGTGTGTGTGTGTGTGTGTGTGTGTGTGTGTGTGTGTGTGTGTGTGTATGTATATATATATATATATATATGTGTGTGTGTGTGTGTGTGTGTGTGTGTGTGTGTGAATAATAAATGCAAATAACAGTATTGATTATAACAGAGATGATAATGATAATAATAATAATTACAATAATAATGATAATAATAACAATGTTCATTGCAAAAATATTCATTACTCTTATAGTAATAATGATGATAATGATAGTGATAACAACAACCATAATAATCATGAAAAGGAGCAAAAAAGAAGAAAGGATGAATAATAATAAATAAAAGAAAATACAACGAAAAAGAGAAAGGCAAGAAGGGAGAGAAACAACAAAAGAGGAAAGAGGTTTATGCAAAAAAAAAAAAAAAAAAAAAAAAAAAAAAAACTGCAAACTGCTTACCGCTGTTCGCAGGCCCCGAGACGACAAAAGGTGTACCGTCTGAAATGATCGAAATCGTATAAACTATTTATATATTATCGTATCTTTAAATAATTAATGACAGCACAAACGAAATAACAACGATACCAACTGCAACAACAATGACAGGAAATGCCAGTCTCACCAAAATCATCCCAGCTTAAGTCGAAGGAAAGAGTGTGAAGTCGATAACGATAAAAGTTCTAACAGATAAATATTCATGCCAATTACCTGTTAAAGAGCAGTCGTAAAAATCACTGAGGCAATGGTACCGTGACAGCCGTAATGGCAGAGGTGAAAGTGAATCGTGGCAAGTGATCGTATTAATTGTGGCAAAGACGAACTATCACTCGGTACAAATAATAATGGAATAATGGGTATTCTAATAACTACATTTCTTACTACATCAGTTATTAGAAAAAAAAAAAAAAAAAATAGAGCCACGAACGTATCCGTTTGCTATTTATAGTGGCCGCGTCTTTATGATGAACGTGTTAAGGTGCTGTCACACTAGCACTTTTTCCATCAATTTTTTTGACAATTCTATTTAACAAAAATACAAACATTCTCGAAAATAGCTCTTGATTTGACTTTGCTTGGCTGAAAAAGATGACGGAAAGGTTTTCAGACGGAAACTAGCATTATCGTCTGACTGGAAAATCGACAATTCGCTCAAAAATGGACATAATTTCAGAAAATTGTCAAAAAATTGTCGGAAAAGTGCTAGCCTGAAAGTACCTTTACTGCGTTTATAATTGTGTTTAACCACGTATGATATTGATGCCACACTTCTTATCATTATTATAATTTCTTCCTCCTACGTTTTCGTTATATATAACCTGTAGTACGATGCCAGAAAAAAATACTACTATTCAATTTCATATTTCTTACCTTTCTATCATATGACAAGGATTTATAATTTACTAAGATTAAAACACAAAAAAGTAGTAATTGAAACAGTACCATAATGACAGTGTGAGAAGTGAACATCGCTAACCCAACGACCAAATTGAATTCCAACTCCGCTAAATATATAGCTCCTTGATTGCTTTCGCTATCGTTAAAAAAGATAAACCGACCACGTAAGGAAATCTGTGCAGGACGTAATGAATAACATACTATAATATGTCAATAACAAGGAGAGAGCGGTAGTCAATAGTTAGGAATGCTGAAAATACTAAATGCATTTTATTCGAATTGAAACACGCACACACACACACTCAATATATATATATATATATATATATATATATATATATATATATATAGAGAGATAGAGAGAGAGAGAGGAGAGAGAGAGAGAGAGAGAGAGAGAGAGAGAGAGAGAGAGAGAGAGAGAGAGAGAGAGAGAGAGAGAGAGACGAAACCGCAGCGATGACCAATTAGGTATGGAAAAGTACAAGCAAATTGGTCTATTAATAAAGACAGAGAGCGGATCAGATCCCAGCCATTTGATTTATAACAAGGATGAAAATATAGAAAACATACTAAAAAGTATAGAAGAAGAAAGAAAATATTAGATAAGCCCGCGAATTCACGATTTCATAACCTCATAAATAACCAAGAGTACACTGAATGCACCGAGAAACCAGCTGGAGTGCCGCAAGGAAGTCTGTTGTCGCCGCTCGTGATTTGAAGGGAATATTTTGAATATTTGAAGGGCATTGAAGTAAGCTCACGAGTGTCTTTTTAGGACCATACAATACTACTTCACTTGGAA